AAACAGTCCCAGAAAGACCAATGATAAAGACATATTAAGGAAAGTTAAGTTCTATCCATTCCATAGTTGCACAAAAGGAAGGCTGGGAAATGGCAGAGACCTGCAGAGGGGTCAAAATAGAAAAGCAGCCACCAGCTCAGGCTTACACACTATGGAAACCACTATGAACTCTAGTAACTGGGTACAAGCCAGTAAAGGTGAGGAAAAGAGGGATTGGGGTGAACAGGATGTCTTGAGCCAATGCCCAGACTGTCAAAGTGGAAGTAGGAGACAGAATTAGTCCTAATACTCCACAAGGAGACCAATCCTAGCATACACACCTCAGAGCACTGGGAGCCGAGAGAGAAGGCAAAGTCATGCTTACTCAGCTCTTGGGCACTAGTGTAGAGAGGAGGGTTATGCAGGAAATCTTAGATTAACATGATCTTCATTAGATTAGTGTCCATTAGGGCAATAGCAGAGGACAGAACCGCTGACTGAAGATCATGAAATAAAGGAGGAGACCACTCAAGGCCAGAACTCAAAGTGGACCACTAGAAGACTGATTTAGAAGACACCAGAAATTGAGGCAGAGGGTGGGACCTAATACCAGCCACTCATCTAGATGAACACCAGCAAAGATACAGATTACCACAGGGACAGCCAAACAAGACCAACCCAAACCATCCAAAAGTTCCAGAGCAGACTGATCTGAGCACAATATCCTCAGCAAGAACAACTGAGGATGAAAATATAAGGGGAAAACACACACACACACAGATCACAATTAAGAAATACTATGGGTTATTCAAAGCCTAAGCAAAGGTAAATCCAGAAGAGAATTACACAACAATTATAAGCAGAGTCCCAGAGGAAAAAAATGGCTTGGCCCTGAGTACTACAAGGTGGAAGAAGCAAATTTAGTAATAGATGAAACGAGAGTTTGAGAAGAAAAAAACTAAAAGGAAAAAGGAAATGTAAAACTTTGCTCAAGTGGCAGACTTGATAACAGAATAGAGCAAACAGAATTCAAAAACTTTAAAATAAAAAGATTTTTTAAAATAGAAGAAAACGGAGGTTATCTATAATCAAAAACTGACCCAGAAACAGATTGAGGAAAGATAAGTTAAGATCACTGGACTCTCTGAAAGCCAAACAAAATTAAAAGCCTAAGTCCCATATTTCAACTAATCATAATGGACAACTGCTCAGATATTTCAGAACCATGGGACAAAATGAAAATATTTCTAAAAGAAATCCCAAACTGAAAATACTCATGAATGTGTCATAGCTAAAATCTAGAGCTTCTAAGTGGGAAAACAAAAACAAAAACAAAACTGCAAGCATCCAGTATTTGAAGTCATTTCCTTTAAGTATCAAGGAGCCACAGTCACTCAAGATTCAGCAGGAAAGAAAATACTGGAGTATGATAGTCCCAAATGCAAAATACAAAGGATTATAATCAAGAATAATAAAGCCTGCAAAAATGAATAAAATCCTACAAGGAGAAAAATGGGCCTTTAATAAAACTTTCAATCTTTCCTAATGAAAACCCAAACCTGAATAGAAACTGTGAAGTATAATGAATTATAGCTAGCCTTTATATAGTTACTAATATGTGTCAGTCCTCGTGCTAAACACTTTACACAAATTATCTCTTTTGATCCTCACAATAATCCTGAGGTAGGTGATATTATCCCCATTTTGCAGTTGAGGAAACTGAGGCAAAAGAAGTTAAGTGACTTGCCTTGGCTAGTAAGGGTCTAGAAATACATTTGAACTTAGGTCTTCCTAACACCATGCCCAGTACTCTTTCCACTCTGCCACCTACTGCCTCTACAAATGTATTTGAGCACTTCACAGGGCTATATGATGAAGTACTCAGACAGTACTTCAGAGAGAAGATGCAAATACCCTTTCAGAATCCTAATGTTTTTAAGTGTCACAGAAGGAATTAAATAAGAAACATAGATGTTGGGTACAGTTTTATTCTGTTTTGTTGCTTTTAAGAAAGGAAAGAAAAAGGAGGGGGAGAAAAGGAATATATTAGTGAATAAGTAAGGAAGGAGAAAGAAATTACTATTTCATGTAAGTGGTGTAAGGGAGAACAGCATACAGAGAGAAGGTTAGGGGATGCAAGTATCTCACGACCTCTCTTTATCAGATCAGATAAAGGAGGACTGAACACAAGAGTTTGGTGCAGAAATGTATTAAGTCTACAAGTATACAGAGAGAGCAAGGGAAAGAGAAGAGGAGAGTAATAAGGAGAGGAGTCACAGGGAAATAGTCCCAACTAAAACAAATTTCAATTTTGGAAAGCTGATCATAGGGGTGATTTTTTATGAAAGAGAGAAAGTCTAAGAACCAAAGATCAAGGTCTGAACTTTGGTGACGAGAGGGGCAAAGAAGTAGGACCAGTGGTCATTTCAATTATGGTTTCTCCAACTTCTGCTGCTTCTCTGTCCCCTTCTTTGTAAAAAGGGGGCTGAGAAGTAAAGGAGGAAAAGTATAAGAGGACATGGTGGAGAGAAATACACAATAACAACAACCAGTCATGATTGTGACTATGAAAGGGATAAACTTATCTATAAAATGGAAGAGAACAGCAGAATGAGACAGATTTCAAAAATTGGAAAGGAAAATTGGAATTGGAAAGCAAAATCCAACAATATGTTATTTATAAGAAATGCGCCTGAAACAGAAATATTCATACAGAATTAAAACAACATGCTAGAGCAGAATTTATTATGCTTCAGGAATTTTTTAAAAAAGTCGTAGCAATCATGATCTTAGACAAAGCAACAATAAAATTATGCTTACAGGCACCATATATAACATTAGTACTTAATATATACACACCAAATGGCATGACATCTAAGTACTTGAAAGAAAAGTTAATGCAATTACCAGGAAAAATTGATAGCAAAATTATTAATAGCTAAGAACTTCCTTTCAGACTTGGACAAATCTAACAAAAAGATAAATAATAAAGAAGCTAAGGCTTGGAAAAGTTAATATGGAAAATCTATGCTGATTACTAAATGGGAATACAAAGTGCATGACATCTATTTTTTTAATTGTCCATGTTATTAAATTAGGGCATAAAACTGCAAATACAGAAAAGTGAATTATTAATATTTACTGATCACCATTTACTGAATTAATAAAGAACTTATTAAGAATATTTGCTGACCATAATAAAATAAAAATTATAATCAATAAAGAGCCTTTGAGGAGAGGCTAAACTTATACGGAGACAATTCTAAAGAATTGGTGATCAAAGAACAAATCACAAAAACAATAGATAACTTCATCCAAAAAATGACAATGAGACAAAACTTTTGGGATGCAGCCAAAGTAATACTTATGGGGAGATAGATATCAACAAACACTTTCATTAACGAAAGAGAGATCAATAAAGAGGCACACACAAAAAAATAGAAATACTGAAAATCAAAGAGATAAAAAAGAAAACAAAAAAATTGAAATGATAAAACTAGAGCTTGGTTTTATGGGGGAAAAAATGAATAAAATAGACAAAATATTAGCTAGTATATCCAAGAAAAGAGAGGAAAAACAAACTGCCAATATCCAAAGTAAAGGAATTAAAAACTATTTTGCCCAATTACATGCCAGAAAATAAATGAGATGGATAAACTAGTTGGTCCATCCATTCTGGAAAGCTATTTGGAAATAAAATTCATGTGTACTCTTTGACACAGAGATACACTAGGGCTAGGCACACCCAAAAGGTATCAAAGAAAGAAAAGGACTCATATATACAAACATACTAATAGCAACAGTTTTTGTTCTACCAAAGAAACTACGGGGATGTCCCTCAAGTGGGGTAATAACAACAAATTATGGTATCTGCACAATAAGAGATGATGAAAGCTACGGATAAAAAGAAACCTGGAAAAACTTGAATTGATGTAGTAAAGTGAGCAGAACCAGTATTATTTTTATCTTATAACATTAGAAAGGAAAATGACTTCAGCAGAATTAAGAACTTTTTATCAATGCAATAATCAATCACAACTCCAGAACACTGATGAAGCATGACCCTCACCTACTTCTTGGTGAAGAAAATAGACTATAGGTAAAGACATACTTGTCTAGATGTGATCTCAAATTTGTTTTGACTATACTTTTGTTATAAAGAAAAGCAGGAAAGAATTGGGAGGAAAATGGGAAAATAGATGAAAAACAAAAGAGAGGAAAGAAGAGATGGTCAATGATACACCTGAAAAATAAGAAAACCAGAAGAGTAGGGCTCAGATGTGGACACAGACAAGCAGGAAGTATTAGTACTCCCATGTTAAATTTAATATATATTTTTACAAAGAACAAGCTATATATAGGAGATTGTTTCATAACAATCCTCATTTTCTGGCTGTCCTTGCATATAGGAATAGTCATGGTTTTCTAGTTCACAATCATTTTAAAAAAGGAATAACAAGCAATGGGTAATACTAGTACATTAATACCCCAAGATACACAAAGGCCTCCGGCATGTTGAGTACATCCTTATCACCTGTAATGCTGCTGCACCTTAAGGACCAGTAGGCCTTTCCATCTGTACTACAGTTCCTACATGGGTCCCTCCTATATCTCCTTCTTGAATGTGAATGAACTCTTCGAGAATAAGATTCTCTCACTTTTCTATTTTATCTCCCTCACATTTAGCACAGAGGTCTGTATATCATAAGAGCTTACTCAATGTTTTTTCATTCATTTATCATCTGTTGAGGATTTATGAAGCAGAATGAGAAAGCAATGGGGGAAAACATGGCTCCATCAAAGCAAAGTACAGTCTCCAGTGAGTGGGGTCAGTCAGAAGGAGGGCTTCACAGGCAAGAAATGAAACATCCCATTCCCTTCCAGTGGCACCCTATAGGTGGAAAGACTGTGGGGTAACAGACAGTAACACAGCGATGGAGGAAGGTCAGAGAGAGAATTACAGAATATTCCAGCTTCTGAAAAAACTCACTACTTAGGCACAAACAAGAAAGAACATAAACTTCTCCCTCACACAGTCTTTTTTATTTCAGGAGCCTGAACCAATGGCTTTTCTCAAGGGTTGGTGGCAGAAAGCAGGAAAACCCACAACAGTACTTCTCTCTAAGAGCCTGAAAGGTGGGGAGGGAACCGAGATCTCCGAATGCCCAGAGTATGAAAAATGAAAAGGAGAACCATGGCCCAGCTCAAATGTAGAGAGGAAAATATGGCTATCCATCTGAGAAAGCAGGAGAACTCCATTCCAGCTACTTGGGTGTAACACGGAAGACCCGAATATGGATGGCTGAGTTATTTCGGGTTCGGGTCAGTGGCTCCCTAGTGTTAGTCTCAGGCTCCAGCTCATCCACCAGCTCCACAGTGGAGGTGTTGGCAGCCACTTGTAAGGCCCCAAAGCTGCTGGCTTGCAACTGCAGGGCAATGTTGATGGCTCGATTAATGGCCAGGCCCAGGCCATGAATGTAAATCTCAGGACAGCCACCCTGGCCCCGACCCCCTCCCCCACCCTCCAGAAGCTTTTGACATCGAGCCAGCTGGGCCTTGAAGTCAGTCTTCATGTTAACATAGATGTCATTTGGTCTTCGGGGAAGACGGTGGGGAAGCCGCTTTCGAAGAGTGTACTCCACTGGGTCCAGTTCAGCCTCACTGGCTCCCCATGTCTCCCCATTCTCAGCCATATCCTGTGTCCTGTGGATAGATGGGAGGAAAGGGGTCAGCTAAACTGGATCCCATGTACCCCAGGATGAGAACCTGAGGAAGGGGCACACATATGGACTTTGCCCTCTTCATTCTTCTAAATAATCTAGGAATGCTAGATCTAGAAGATACCTCAGATTCATCTAGACTGGATGTTTTTAACCTTTTCCTTTTTTGGTGTAGGGACCTCTTTGGCAGTCTGGCAAAGCCTATGAATCCTTTCTCAGAATAATACTTTTAAGTGTATAACATAAAATACATAGGATTACAGAGGAAGCCACTTACATTAATATACAATTATGAAAATATTTTTAAAAGTTCATGGATCCCAGATTAAGAAACCCTGATCTAGGCCAAATCACTCATTTTACAGTTAAGGCAACTGATGCTTAGAAGAATCTTGCCAAAGATCACACAGATATTTAATAGTAGGGTTTGTCAGTCTCTCTGACTCCCAGCCCAATCCAGTCTTCATCACGGCAGAGTAGCAGATACTTATAAATATGTAGCTTTTACGGTTACAAAATACTTACCATAATTTTCATTTAGCCTCACAATGACTATCACCTTCCCCCATACAGAGGTGACCCAAAGTGTTAAGAAAACTAGTCACCGTCCTGAACCCCTTCCCCTACCCCGTCACCCGTCAGAGGGTGTGAGACAAGAACCCGGGCATTCTGGGCTCAAAGACCACCAAGCTCCCCCAAATTCCCAACCCTGACTGATAGATGGATACTATAGACACAGACACATAGCTATATCTATATACTTCATTCATCAGCCCTCGTCCAATTTGGTTTGCCACCTACACACCCACACCCACATACACAAACCACACCCACACATTCCACAAACATACACACCACATACACATATATGCCACAACACACCACACAAAGATCATACAACTACACACATACTACACACACCACCCACACACCCTCTCCCCCACTACAAAGACCACAACAGACATCAAACACACACACACACACACACACACACACACACACGCACACCCCTATCTCAGCTTCCCAGTTGTCCCACCCCCGGCACTCACCGCCTTGGGAAGGGAGCGCCTTCCTCCCCGGGTGCCGGGGCCGGCCCGCTCTTCACGCGCCAGAAGCAGCTCTAAGAAGGAAGCGCCCACAGAGGAGCAGCCACACCAGCTATGGAAGGAGCGCCAGGCTCCCGAAGCGCGAGTGACAACGCGCATGCGCGCCTGGCCCCGGAGGGTTAAAGCATTAGACCTCCGTGTTTGCACCAATCGCCTGCCCCCTTCTTGGGTTTCCCACTCCCATTCCCCCTTTCCTCTCTCCTTCTTTGACTAGAGTATTTTGGAGTCTCGCGAGGTTTCTAAAAGGCGGATGGGATCTCTCGAGTGGGAGAAAGTACCACGTGAAAGGAGGGGGCGGAGCCCAAAAGAAGAGGGCGGGGTCGGGTGGGAGCCATTTAGGGGACTTGAGTTGGCCTTCTGGGGAGGTGGAGAAGGGAGGGGGAGCTCCTTGGGGCTGCTGGCTTGACGTTCCTTTGCTATGCGAGGATCTGGGCGGGCCTTGCAGGGTCGAGCTAATACGGGCATCCTGCCTGGAGGAGGAGGCTGAGCTGTCTGTGGTAATTCACATTGCCATAGCCCCTGGCGTTCAGGCCAAATCAGAGGACACCCTCGCCCGACCCATCATTGCTAATCTTCACCCTTGGGCACTTTAAAGGTTGACTCAGATGCCAAGGGTTAGGTTAATTAGCCTCCTTACCATATGCATAGCACTTTACAAAACATTTTCAAATATGGTCTCACGTGTGATGCAAAACCCTGTGAGATAGGTATGCAGTGGATAGAGGACTGGGCCAGGACTCAGAAAGACCCTAGTTCAAATTGGGACAAATGAAAAACCCGAGAGAATGTTTCTGGGTAATTAATAAGCAATTTATTAATTAGGTTAACACATAATAAATTGAGGTCAATGGTTTTTGTGGAAACCAAAGACCCCCTCCCTCCCCTCCTGGAGGCTGCTGAATGTTTAAATACCTTTGGAAAAGGGGGTGTCTCTTAGGGTGAAAATTGTGGAAAGCCCTGCAGATGCACTGGACACAGAAGAAGCCTGTTTGCTGAAAGGAGCCAATCAGCAGCCTGCAATGAGCCAAAATATGGCTTGCTCCCAGATGCCTTTGTTGGTGTTGCTGGCTGGCCTTGCTGAATTGTGGCTTCCCCCACTCCCCCAAACTGACCCAAACCAGCCTAGCGGTCAGCTGTTCCTGCAAACCATCTTGCTTCTATGTCCACCTGTTCCTGGGAAAGATTGTCCATTCTTTTTCCCAACCCCTCCCTGAACCTCCCCTTTGTAGTTTTCAAGCATAAATCTCCCCTGCCTCTCCTGGGCTGTGGGCTTATTTGGATGTGGGGGTTTTGGAACTAGTGTGTGATTTCCTCCTAATAAATCTTCTGCTTTCAACCTAGCTTGGAAGTCTCTACATTTTGAGGGGTGGCTTTGCCTGGTTGGAAATCAACCCTGATTGGTTAACAATGAGAAACTTAACATTATAATAAGAGGTGGACTTTTCTAAAGAGGGACTGGGTAGTGACTTTGATCACATTTGTTTGAGTTCTTGAACAAAGAGACTCATCTCCACCAGTCATACCAGAGTAGAACAATGGTGGGGTTACAGTAAGAATTCCATGAAAATAAGATGCTCTGGGGTGAATTTTTGGGCAAGGTCATAAATGTCCTCGAGAGGCTTTGAATGAGTAAGAGAAAAAAAGAGTCCCTTATATTTGGGTCACTTATATAAAATTGATTATTAATGTAATAAAGTAATCATTTTTCTCAAAATCCTGGCCTCAGACACTATGTGACCCTGGACAGGTCACTTAACCTCTGCTGAAAGGAGCCAATCAGGAGCCTGTAGTGAGCCAAAGTCATTTTGCTCACTTTCAGTTTCCTCATCTGTAGAACAAAGTTATAGCAACTACCTCTTAGGGTTGTTGTGAAGATCAAATGATAATTGTAAAGCATCTGGCACGTAGAAGGCACTATATAATGTTAGCTATTAGATAAGCAGAGTTGGTGATATTCCTACTTCATAGCTTAGTTAACAGAGACCTAGAGGGAATAAGTGACTCTTCCAAGGTGACCCAAATATTCCCTGTCGTGGCCATGATGCTCTCCATCCCCACTGTTTCCTAAGTTTCATAGAATTCTGAAAGAGGCATTAGTAGAGAATGATGAGGTTCAAGAATCAGGTCATCCAGAAAGAATTCAAAGGACAGATATTCTCCTAGTCAAGAGGGCTTTATTGACACAAAAGTGGTGTGTTAGTCCTTAGGGGTACTAGCAGCTTGGAGAAGAACGGGGCCTTGCTTTTATACACAAGTCTTGGGCACTCAACTAGGAGTCAGGTATCCTTCTTTGTGGGCAGTTAACCACAGGGAAGAGGAAGCAGGTGTGTTGGGTACTTTTAACCACAGGGAAAGGGAAGCAGGAAAAGGGAAACAGGTGTGTCTTTTTTTATTTTAATAATTTTTTTAAAATTTTTAACATTCACTTCCACAAAATTTTGAGTTCCAAATTTTCTGCCCATCTCTCCCCTCCTCCCACCCCAAGATGGCATGCATTCTGAATACTCCTTCCCCAAATCTGCTATCCCTTCTATCACCCCTTCTCTTATCCTCTTCCCTTTCTATTTTCCTGTAGGTCAGGATAGATTTCTATACCCCATTGCCTGTATGTCTAATTTCCCAGTTGCATGTAAAAATGATTTTTAACATTCATTTTTAAAACTTTGAGTTCCAAATTCTCTCCCTTCCTCCCTCCCCACCCACTTACATTGAGAAGGCAAGCAATTCCGTATAGGTTATACATATGTAGTCATGCAAAAAACTTCCATAATAGTCATGTATATAATATATACATATTATATATATGTAATCAAAAGGATTATGGACTATGCAGTAGTTTCACTTTAGGTTCAGATCTCAAGATATAATGACATGCACTCAGTATAAACTTAACAATCACATTTATTTTACAATGATAAATAATGATTAAGGCAACACAAGCATATAAAGATAAGAATAACATTCAATGCAATAAGTATTAATCAAAATCAAGAAAAGGAGGAATAAGAAAAGAAAGGATACACACTCATTGACCAGGCGAGCTCAAATACCTACAAGACCGGGGAGACTGGAGACGATCAAGAGGTCTGATCAGGGGGCCAAAAGAGCAGCGTCCTGCTCTTAAACAACAAAAGCTGTGCACACAATTAGCTTTTCGAACGTCCCTATCTCTGACATCAAAGTACTCCAAAAAATCCCCTTTCAGATGCCCCCTTTATATCTATGTAAACCAGGGAAAAAACAATCTTAATATTTTGTTTTGTGTACATATCCTTGGTGAGCGCTCAGGTCCTGGATATGCACACATTCTATCAAAGGTGGGAGCTTGATCAGAGCCCCAAATACCTGTTTGTTGTGTAAATCTCCAAGAAGGGATCATGTCCTTGGACAGTTACACACTTCTCTCAAGAAAAATGTTCCTTGGAATAAGAATTGCTTTCCTAGGTAACATACTTTTTTGGTTACTTAATGTTCTGTCTCCATAGTAACCTTGGCCATGCATGTTAACTCTACATTCTTTATGTCAGGTCATGGGGCGGTTTCATGAGGAGCTGGGGAATATCTTCCTTAGTTTCCCTCACAATATATATACATATATATATAATCCCCTCCATCCTATCCTGCTCTCCTGTTTATTCTATTCTCTCTGTTGACCCTGTCCTTTCTCAAAAGTGTTTGCTTCTGATTACTTCCTCCCCCAAACTGCCCTCCCTTCTGTCATGCTCCCCTCTCTTATCCCTTTTCCCCCTATTTTCATATAGGGTAAGATAGATTTCCATACTCAATTGAGTGTGTATGTTATTCCCTCCTTAAGCCAAATCCAATGAGAATAAGATTCATTTATTCCTTCTCACCTCCCCCCTCTTCCCCTCCACTGTAAAAGCTTTTTCTTGCCTCTTTTATGTGAGATAATTTACCCCATTCTATTTCTCCCTTTCTCCTCCTCCCAGTATAATCCTCTCTCACCCCTTAATTTTATTTTTTATATATCATCCCTTCATATTCAACTCACCCTATGCCCTCTGTCTATATTTATACATATACATATACATATATATAATATATGTATATATTCCCTCCAACTACCCTAATATTGAGAAAGATTTCATGAGTTACAAATATCCATCTTTCCATGAATTGTAAGCCATTGAATTTTAATAAGTCTCTTATGATATCTCTTTCCTGTTTACCTTTTCATGCTTCTTTTGAGTATTGTATTTGAAAGTCAAATTTTCTATTCAGCTCTGGTCTTTTCATCAAGAATGCTTGAAAGTCCTCTATTTCATTGAATATCCATTTTTCTCCTCATGGATTAAACTCAGTTTTGCTGGGTAGGTGATTCTTGGTTTTAATCCTAGCCCCTTTGACCTCCAGAATATCATATTACAAGCCTTTCGATCCCTTAATGTAGAAGTTGCTAAATATTGTGTTATCCTGATTGTGTTTCCACAGTACTTGAATTGTTTCTTTCTGGCTGCTTGCAATATTTTCTCCTTCACCTGGGAACTCTGGAATTTGGCTACAATATTCCTAGGAGTTTTCCTTTTGGGATCTCTTTCAGGAGGTGATCAGTGGATTCTTTCAATTTCTATTTTGCCCTTTGAGTCTAGAATATGAGGGCAGTTTTCCTTGATGATTTCTTGAATGATGATTTTTTTTATCGTGGTTTTCAGGTAGTCCAATAATTTTTTAATTCTCTCTCCTGGATCAATCTTCCAGGTCAGTTATTTTTCCAATGAGATATTTCACATTGTCTTCTATTTTTTCATTCTTTTAGTTTTGTTTTATAATTTCTTGATTTTTCATAGAGTTATTAGCTTGCATTTGCTCCATTCTAATTTTTAAGGAATTATTTTCTTCAGTGATCTTTTGGGCTCTCTTTTCATTTGACCAATTCTGCTTTTTAAGGCATTCTTCTCCTCATTGGCTTTTTGGACCTCTTTTGCCATTTGGGTTATTCTATTTTTTAAGGTGTTATTTTCATCAGTATTTTTTGGGTCTCCTTTAGCAGGCTGTTGACTCATTTTTCATGATTTTTTTGCATCACTCTCATTTCTCTTCCCAATCTCTGCTCTACTTTTCTTACTGGCTTTTCAAAATATTTTTTGAGCTCTTCCATGGCCTGAGACTAATTCCTATTTTTCTCGGAAGCTTTGGATGTAGGAGCTTTGACTTTGATGTCTTCTTCTG